TCTAATCCTGTACTCACCCTGGATGGTGAGCAGATTGAAGTAGTTGAGAAGTTCGTGTATCTAGGTAGCTATATAAGTGCTGGTGGTGGCGTGAGTGATGAGATTGATGCACGTATAAGGAAAGCCAGAGCGGCTTATGCCAATCTGGGCCATCTTTGGCGCCTTCGTGATGTTAGTCTGGCTGTAAAAAGTCGGATTTACAACGCGTCGGTGAGAGCAGTTTTGCTCTATGCTTGTGAAACCTGGCCTCTCCGAGTTGAGGATGTCAGACGTCTCTCTGTGTTCGATCATCGTTGTCTCCGAAGGATTGCTGACATCCAGTGGCAACACCATGTTAGTAATGCAGAGGTTCGGCATCGTGTGTTCGGGCACAGAGACGATAATTCAATTGGTGTCACCATCTTGAAACACCGACTTCGGTGGCTCGGACATGTTTTACGAATGTCGTCCCAGAGACTTCCACGTCGTGCATTATTTGCCGACCCTGGGACTGGTTGGAGAAAGCGGAGAGGAGGTCAGTGTATGACATGGTGTCGTGGCATGAAAGAGAGCTGCAAAGGGCTAGCTTCTGCTGGTCCTTCACGACTCCCTGGTTGGGGTCCGAGAGATAGTGCAACACAGTGGCTAGAGACGTTATCAGATATGGCTCAGAATAGAAGCCAGTGGCGATCCTGCTGCAACCTTCTTTTACTTTCTACATAAAGAATGGTTCTAACTTTCCTAACTGAAAGAGTCTTCTGGTTGTACATTTCAGTCCGCCTTATCTTTCCATCCCTTCTCTTCCTACTTTCATTATTTTGTGTGGCGCATATGTAACTGGTGCCCTTTTGTACCAATATATATGTGTTTAAATAAATAAATAAATGTCTGTCTCTATTTCTCGGCGTAATGTGTTCTTTGGTCTTCCTCTTTTCCGTTGACCTTCAGGATTCCATGTGAGGGCTTGGCTTGTGACGCCATTGGGTGATTTCCTCAAGGTGTGCCCAATCCACTTCCAGCGCTTTCTCCTGATTTCTTCCTCCACTGGAATCTGGTTTGTTCTCTCCCACAGCAGGTTATTGCTGATAGTGTCTGGCCATCGGATCCGAAGTATTTTGCGTAGACAGCTGTTGATGAACACTTGTATCTTCTGGATAATGGCTTTCGTAGTTCTCCACGTCTCTGCCCCATACAGTAGAACTGTCTTGACATTTGTATTGAAAATTCTAACCTTGGTGTTGGTTGACAATTGTTTTGAGCTCCAGATGTTTTTCAGTTGTAAGTATGCTGCTCTTGCTTTGCCGATCCGCGCCCTCACATCTGCATCTGATCCAACGTGTTCATCAATGATGCTGCCCAGATATGTAAAGGTTTCCACATCCTCCAAAGCTTCTCCGTCAAGTGTAATTTGATTGGTGCATATTGTATTGTATCGGAGAGTTCTGCTTTTCTCTTTGTTTATATTGAGACCTACTGCTGCTGAGGCCGCTGCTACACTGGTCGTTTTCTCCTGCATTTGTTGTTGCGTTTGTGATAGAAGAGCCAGATCATCCGCGAAGTCTAAATCATCAAGCTGCATCCTGCCTGTCCACTGTATCCCGTGATTTCCTCCAGATGTTGACGTCTTCATGATCCAGTCGATCACCAGGAGAAAGAGAAAGGGTGAGAGTAAGCAACCTTGAATAACACCGGTCTTTACTTCAAACGAGTCGGTGAGTTGTCCTCCGTGGACAATTTGGCAGTTTAGTCCATCATAGGAGTTCCGTATGATATTGACTATCTTCTCAGGCACGCCGTAATGTCGAAGAAGCCTCCATAGTGTCGTCCTGTCCACGCTATCAAATGCCCTCTCGTAGTCGATGAAGTTGATGTACAGTGATGAATTCCATTCGATTGATTGTTCCACAATGATCCGCAGAGTTGCGATTTGATCTGTGCACGATCTATCCTTACGAAATCCAGCTTGTTGATCTCGAAGTTGGGCGTCCACTGAATCCTTCATCCTGTTTAACAATACTCGGTTGAAGACTTTTCCTGGTATTGAGAGAAGAGTGATGCCCCTGTAGTTGTCTCACTTGGTGACATCGCCTTTCTTTGGTATTTTGATCAGAAGTCGTTTTTTCCAGTCTGTTGGTACTTGTTCTTCGTCCCAAATCTTACTGAAGAGGATGTGGAGTATCTTGGCAGTTGCTGCTACATTTACTTTCAGTGCCTCTGCCGGGATGTTGTCTGGTCCCGCTTTTTTGCCACTCTTGATTTGATAATGGCCATGCTGATCTCTTCAATTGTTGGTGGGCCAACATCGATTGGGAGGTACGTGGGTGCTGCTTCGATGTTGGGTGGGTTCAGTGGAGCTGGTCGATTCAAGAGTTCTTTGAAGTGTTCTACCCACCTGCTTCGTTGTTCTTCAATGTCGGTGATTACTTTGCCTTCCTTGCTTTTCACTGGTCTTTCTGGCTTACGGTAATTTCCGGCAAGTTTCTTTGTTGTATCATACAATTGTCTCATGTTTCCCTCTCTTGCAGCCTTTACCGCTGTCGTTGCTAAATCTTCCACATATTTACGTTTGTCGGTTCTGATGCTCCTCTTCACTTGCTTGTTTGCCTCTGTGCATTCGGCTTGTGCCTTGGCTTTTTCCGCTCTGGTTCGGCTGGTGTTGATTGCTGCCTTCTTGTTCCTCCTTGCTTCAATCTTATCCAGTGTACCAACAGTGATCCATTCCTTGTGATGGTGCTTCTTTTGGCCCAGAACCTCTTGACATGTTGAAACGATTGCCTCCTTGATACCTTTCCAGTTGCTCTCCATGGTAGTCCCCTCTCCATTGAGTAGGTCATGAAAGGCCTCGAACCTGTTGCTGAGGGCTATGTTGAATTTGTTGAGTTTGTCAGCATCTCGAAGAAAGGCCGTATTAAACTTTTGTGATGTTGTCCGCGCCGTTGTCCACTGCTTCTTGAGTTTTAGTTTCATCTTGGCGACCAGCAAATGATGATCGGATGCTATATCAGCTCCTCTTCTGGTTCTCACATCCTCCATCGTCCTCCTGAACTTTTTGTTGATGCAGATATTGTCGATTTGATTCTGTGTAGTATGATCCGGTGAAATCCAAGTGGCTTTGTGTATGTTTTTGTGTGAGAATATGGTGCCACCTATGACCAGTTTATTGAAGGCACATAGGTTTGCAAATCTCTCACCATTTTCGTTCCTTTCTCCCAGTCCATGTTGTCCCATGACGTCTTCATATCCAGTGTTGTCCATTCCAACCTTAGCATTGAGATCTCCCATCAGAATTGTCAGGTCCTTGGTTGGGCACTTCTCGACGATCGACTGCAATCTGTCGTAGAATTGGTCTTTAGCATCTTCATCGTAGTCGTTGGTAGGCGCATAGCATTGGATGACGTTCATTGTAATGCCCTCTCTCTTTGTTTTGAAGGAGGCTTTGATGATCCTTGGTCCATGAGATTCCCATCCTATAAGTGCATTTTGTGCTTTTCTGGACAGCATCAATGCAACTCCTTGTGTATGTGGGGCATTTTCTTCTTCATGACCGGAGTATAACAGAAGTTCTCCTGAAGACAGTCGTTGTTGTCCAACCTGCGTCCAATGTGTTTCGCTGATTCCAAGAACCTCCAGGTTGTATTTTCTCATTTCTGCAGCAATTTGGAAAACTCTTCCGGTTTCCCACATTGTTCGGACATTCCATGTACCTATAAAAATTGTCGCTCTGGTTGTAAGAAGGTGCATCGGCCTCATGACTTCCAAAGGAACTCGGCTTTCATCATGAGACGTCATAATTATTCCTTCTACTCCCAGGACAGAGTTTGAAAGGTTTGAATGATTTTTTTCTGGTTAGCGTTTTTTTAGCGAGTTGATTTTCTACGTGATGGGGTCGCTAACCCCATGCCCAACCCTCCTCCTTTGTGTGGGCTTGGGACCGGCAGTAACCCCCAGAGGAGCTACAGGCGGAGTTCCTTCAATAACATCTCCAAACCCTAATCTTTCCGATTAGTGCTTATACTCTTACTACTTCTTCCACTATGGGATTTGAATTGACAACTTCATCTCTGTGTTAATGTGGTATGGCAACTCGAACTGATGTACGTACATACGAAGTTCTACGTCGTGACTGACTGACTGTACCTGGAAAGCATCATCGATGAACATGGAGGATCTGATGCAGATGTGAAGGCAAGGATTGTCAAAGCCAGAGTAGCATTCCTACAATTGGATGAATAGCAAATGAAAAAGATTGCCCAGGACAGAGGATGCTGGTAGGCGGCCTATGCTCCTCCACGAGGGGCAACATGCGTAAGTAGGTAAGCAAATTTGGTATTTATTATTATTATTTATTACTTAAACACATAAATATTGGTAAAAAAAAAGGCACCAGATACATATATGCCACAGAAATCCCATTCGATGTTTTTGAGGGCTGTGATACTACCCACGCGCCCAAACTGAAGCAGGTGGTTTTCTTAGTGAGCCACACCCCGAGCCTTTAACCTAAAGGTCTGATTAACAAGGCAGTGGAGCATCGTGAGGAGATGCAGTCACATGGTAGCCGGTCACCAACGATTGATTCATACGCCATTTGTTCCCTCAGAATACTGGAACCAGCCTATGTGCACCATTAATTTGGAATCAGGTTTTTCAACTCCCCTAGGTAGACTCTCCGTGACCACCAACCCAGTTAAATCGCCGGACATTCGCTTTTCGTCTTCTCAATTTCGTAAACACCCTCGCCATGAGAAGGCAGTGAGTAGGACTTCCCTGTCAGAGGCTATATACGCGTGGCCATGTGAGAACATTTCGAGAAGGAGAGCGGACTCTCCCCACTCTCGGCCGTACGAAGGCATTTAGTATTTAGATCTTAGTAATGGGAACACAGACTCGAACACATTCCGCTTACTACGATTCTGAATGCAAACACTGTACATATCAATATTTAAGAATAATAAGATCTTTATAAACTATCACCACTAAATGCTGATACATAAAATAGTAGAAAATCACCATACACATACCTTGACCAAAAGCCATATGTGACAGATTTCGTAGACCCAAAGACTGTCCTATTTCTTCACTTAAACACCGCTTGGATCGACAATCGGATGCATTGAATTCACAATAAGTATAACCGAGTTGTTTGCATACTAAAATAGCTGTTGACGTTTTGCCAATCCCTGGAGGTCCCGAAAGAAGTGCTGCGCGCGCCCACTTCCCATCATCACTAGATGACGGGCCCCATGGAGGGGCACTTGAGTAAGCCTTCGCTTTTAAACCTGGAAAATGATAAACACACAGAAGTTTGAAACTGAGGCCAGTTGGTTCTCAGTATTACCGCTTTATAGAATAACACAACCTGTATTTTACCGGAATGACAGAGACAGATTTCACGGAATTTTCACAATGTCGGATAACTATAAACATTTCTACTTAACAATACAAAAATGACTGTAATCTGCTTCACAAGTACACCAAACGAGTTTGGAATCATCAAACAATACGAATAGTACTAAAGCGCTATAAGCTTGAAACATAACAGCTGATGAATTTAGTATGGAAATACAAACAGTTTGTAACGAGCAGCATATATGTCACTTGATATTTCGCACCTAATGAATATAGAAAGATAAGGCTAGAGTTTGGAAAAAAGGATCTATAAACCTGCTGCTACAACTTTTGTTTTGAAATACCAGGTAAAGTAAAATAACATCGAATTACTTCTGTTTGAAGGATAATTAATAATTATAAAGGTTATAAAATAACTGATACACCACAAACCTGCTGAAAAGTCCGAGTGCCAGGAAGATAGCCAATTTAAAAGTCGATTAGCTGGACTTTGTGCACCGTTTTGACCAATCAGTGAGCGAATAGATGTTGGTTTATATTTATCAACCCATAATTCAGACAACTTCGAACCCATCTCCTTCAACAGGGAATCTGGCTTATCAATGAAATTAGTAGGAGTTTTGGATGAACCACTGCTATGATTTCGATCAGTTTTACTATTAAATGTTGAATTATTGGTTAAAACAGGACGTGCAGTAAGAGGAAGTTCATTACATAAAGACGTAACAGATTTTCTTGTACATTTATTCGGAGATTCATGTTTATGAGATTTAGGAGCATTATCGGGTGATTCAGTATATTGCTTCTTCTTAGGAGATTTTTTAGGACTTTTTAATTTTTGTTTACTATCATTTACATCTACAGACTCCAATTTCTTGGAAGATTCTGAGTTGGATACATTCGATTTATGATGTACAAGAGGAACATTACTGGATTTTTCTATCATTTCAAAAAGATATTCTTCAGTAATCTGCTTAATTTTCAAATTGTTAGCCTTCATTAATTTAAAAAAGAACACAGTTATGAGTAGAAAAACAATTTAAAATCAAACACAAAAATGAATAATATTAAACACCGTTTAACAGAAATAATTTTCCCGCTCTGAAATATTTCAAGTATCGTATATGCTAATATTAATAGTATTTTTCTCAACAATAACGAAGCCCAGAATCGAAAGAGTACAATAACTCTACCTATGACTGGATAAAATGACCTCTTAAAGAGTTATAACCAATGATCAAATGACTTGTATAAGGTGATGACTACAGTAAACCAAACAAATAATAATATAATTAGACTAAATACAATATCAGTAATTCTTCTGGTATATCACTGTCTAAAATATAGAATTCAAAAGGAACTCACTTAAGTAAAGGTAATTGATTTTTTAAGTTACATAAATTCTATAAAAATCGACTTGTTTATAACTGGTGTATAATCACAGCTGCGCCAAAAAAATACAAATTAGTCAGTCAATCACAACGTAGAACTTCGCACGTACGTACATCAGTTCGAGTTGCCATACCACATTAATACAGAGATGCAGTTGCCAATTCAAATCCCACAGCGTTAGAAGTAGTAAGAGTATAAACAGTAATCGGAGAGATTAGGGTTTGAAGATGTTATTGAAGGAGTATAATACAGTGAAATAAATTTGGAAAGAGAAAAAGGATACGGACATGAAGAATTCAGAAGATTAAAATTTCGGAGAACACAAAGTGGATGCACCCGCGACATTGCAAACGATTTTGAGCCATGTCATTCAAGGTCTCTAACCATCGGTTGCTATCATCTCAACCAGGTAGTCTACACCTACCAACATGGCTCAGTCCAACTGTCAGTGACTTCATGGATTTGTGCCACGTTTAGGTCTGGCCGCCCCTTGCTTTCTTCCAACCTACTATTACGCCATGAAAAATTGCACGTCAGGACAGTCGGTGGTTGGGCATACGCAACACGTGTCTCAGTCATCTCAACTGATAAAGTTCCACTACTTCATCAATCGATTTGCCATCCTTACCTAGTACCCGTTTCCTAATGAATGCATTGCTTACTCGGTGGTCCCAGGATATGCGAGCAATGCTTCAAAGACATCATAGGTGTCTTCAAAGCATTTCTACCAAATTAGTAATAATACTACAATTGATTTGATAAAATATTTAAAGAATTGAGTCAAATTGATAGTTACGCTAATCTAATAAAACCTCAAAATCCAACTGAATATTTTTTTGTGAATAGAATTACTATTAGCTGAAATGACTGGGTATTTAAACAAATACATTTATTAAGAATGCAAGGTTATTGTTCAAATACAACATATTCAACAAAAACAGTATGCATATAAGCTCTTTATTAATTAACAAATAGAATAAGCAAAGATGAGAATCAAAATCACTGTGTTCATTGTCAATGACCATTCATTCCGATTCATTTTAACACAAACTACATTCTTTTCTTAATATTATTAGTTTTTAAAGTTATTACTTAGTAATTAGGTATAGGTGATTGTTTGAGATGGTTATAACCCAAAATTTTATTATGTCAGAACTTTAAGTAATCATAAACTTTCATAACGATTGTATCGTTCGAATTTATGACAATGAAATATTTTTAAATACCAAACTACAACTCTTAGGCGAGTAAAATAAAAATCAATGAAGCTATTTAAACAGTGGAACTATGAATTATACGTTAATCATGAAACTGGTTGGGAAAATCAGAGAGGTGGTTAGTGTATGACATGGTGTTGTGGTATGAAAGAAACCTGCAAAGGACTGGCTTCTGTTGGACCTTCACGACTCCCTGGCTAGGGTCCGAGAGATGGTGCTACACAGTGGCTAGAAACGTTATCAGATATGGCTCAGAATAGGAGCCAATGGCGATCCTGCTGTAACCTTCTTTTACTTTCTGAATAAAGAGTGGTTATAACCTCCTTAACTGAGAGAATTCTTCTGGTTGTACATTTCAGTTTCCCTCAACATTACCTTTTTTTAATATGCATCTCTTCCCATTTTCATTGTTTTGTGTGGCGCATATATATCTGGTGCACCCTTGCACCAATATTTATGTGTTTAAATAATAAAATAAACCATAATTGGTAAATAAACTTTACTTTCTAAATGCTCGATACATTAACTATCGGTGAATGATAATAATCATTTCAAATGGTAATTAATCTGTCAGTGAATACAATGTTAGACTAGGTTCTTATATGTGGTGGTTTGTAGATTAATAATATCTGTTATTGATTGAAATCCAAGGTGTATTGAATCTTTCTCCCATTTATCAGGTACTATTACCAGTACTTATCAATAACCATCTGCTTAAGTGTATCTGGATTTCTATATAACACGAAAACAACTGACCAACACACAACAAAAAATATTGTGAGATAATATGGATTCATTTTATTTTGTGTATTTAAAATTTTTGATATTCATATTAATTTTAGAAATGTTTTCTATGTAATTTGTTTGAAATAATTGGATTTATTGATGACAAAAAACTACAATTATTCTCCCCAATTATATAAGTTCAATTTACATAGGCATAAGTGAGAGAGATCATTAGGTTGAGTTCATGAGTCAACTGAGGCTAGATCATCAGGGAAAAACTGGAAGCACTGGACGGCCGTTCCGTCCTATTGTGGGACTCCTCCTGAGTTCGAATCTCGCGAGGTGAGGTCGTGGATGCGCACTGCTGAGGAGTCCCACAATAGGACGAAACGGCCGTCCAGTGCTTTCAGGTTTTCCCTGGCGGTCTAGCTTCAATTGACTCACGCCTTCAACTATGAAAAGCATAGTTTGTTTGTTCTTAAAACGACAAAATTCTGACAAGATTTCCTTCATATGAAATAGAAAAGCTAGGATAAAAATATTGATTGAACCAGGAAGTGTTGTGGTAAATCGTATAGTTTTAGAAAACGATTATAATTATCACCCATAGATTGAATCACTTTATGCATTTATTTTCTACCCAAGATCACAGTTCGTATGTGGAAAATTTAGAATGCGTGGAAATAAAGTAAATTCACTTTATCGAACAAGGTCTATTTTTTTACTTTCAAAACTATTATTTAGAGGGACAAACTGGCCAAGATAGCCACATGTTGGACCCATGTGGTTGATCACAGTAGTAAAAATCTGCACATTCAAGCAGTCCATGAGATAAAAGATCCTATTTTGGAGCCGTGGAAAAGTTACAAATATATTCGAGTATTACGTTGACCTCGAAACTCCTAAATCCCTACACTAGCTTGTGATTATTATTTTCATATAAGTTATTAACGAAGACTGAAAATAAAAATTAATCTACCGTAATGATTCATACAAAAACTCCCACTGTTTCGGATTTAGTGTCTGAATGTTCTTTCTGCACGTCTGGGTTGTCTGTGACGAATACTGCAGAAGTGTTTGAGTGTGGTAAAAAAAATTAGTATGATAAAAAAGGGTTTTAAACACGCTACTTTTCATCTCCATTGAAGTTACACGTCTATATTTGCAAAACCCTGGGTGGGGATATAATAAAGGAAAAGATAGATAGATACAGAAGGCATAAGTTATAATTTAGCGCTTACTTTTACTGTAGCATTTTAGAACCTCTCTTGGAACACATAACTCCCAAGTTACCTCCAAGGCTACTGACAGCCCCAAGCCCGAGGAAAGAGGGAAGGTTGAGTGTAAGGTTAGCAACACCTTTTCGTAAGAAAGAATCAAGTTACAGAATCTCTAAACACAAAAAACGAATTCAACTCTGCTCCAGGAGGAGAAGAGTGTTTATATATAAGACTTGTGACAGCGCATGGTGAAAGCCGTCTCAGGAAGCAAAGAGGTCGACACTCCGAACAACCAAAGCAACAATAAACATAGGAACATGGAATGTCTGGACAAAGTGTGAGACCAAGAGATTCCTTTAAACAACCACATAAATGAGAAGATACAATTTCGTCCTGCTTGAAATAAATGAAACCCTGTCCTCATATACATAATCTATAGAAATCATTAAGTATCATACTATTCAATCTTTCTTCAGTGGTTAGATTTAACAAACAGTTGACCTAATTACATATTCGTACCTCAATATAGACTAACCAAACGGTATAATTGAGATATAAAAGTTTACAGTACAAAAGTACTGTTCCTTTCTACTTATAAGTAAACGAGTTAAGATTATACTAAAATAGATGGAAATCAATATCGTGGTTGATAAAAGAATAAAACAATTTAAGGTGGGAATGAGCAAATATTAAATTTTTACTCCCAATAAATAAACAACTATAATGGATTTAAAGAGTAGAAAACCCACCTTCTCAATTTTCGCTGCACCAGGTTCACGTCCGACAACAAGATAATCAGTCTTTTTACCTAATGTCTTTAAAACTTTACCACCACAATTCTGAATAAGATTTGCGGCGTCCTCTCGTTCAATGCACTCTAGTATTCCTGTGATGAGGAAGTTCAGTCCCTTTAAACAATCTGGAGTTCCCTGAAACGGAAATTACATAACAATACATTTCGTTTCGCTAATGTCGTCTCATAAAGACGTTTCTTGAAGGTTTTTGGAAATAGTATGAAATTTTCACTATCGTACTTGACGAAATCAAATGAACCATCAAAAACCACGAAAAAACTGAAAGCCATTTAATCCATAGAAAAAAGATAGCGTAAACTACCTATCTGGTTATAATGATCCCTAGCCTTATGCATAAATTCCAATACTACCACATTTCATTTCCACATTGTATAAATCCATATGCGATTACCTTTAGAGTGCAAAGCAACCACTAATTCCGGATGGCTAAGGGGTTAAAGCATTTAGCTTTCATAAAGTAGGTCGTAAATCTAAAATACGATCCTGATTACTTTTGTTTGGAAACCAAGACACTATTGACATCTTTATACAAAGCTTGAGACACGCATCCAAGTACATAAATTTGTACTTGATTAATAAAAGATATCACACTACAGAAACAGTGTTTAGTTATAGTTTACGAATTATACATGTGGATGGCTTTTAACATCCTAATTTGACGTTCCTCAACGAGGTACGTATACTGGAGTAGGAATGAAAAGCTTTTCTGCACAGGACAGTCAGTTTTTATTCCAACCGCTATATTGGTTAGGATTTGAAAATCAACTATGCTTTTTTTCACCTAATCCCTAATAATTGTGCATAATTTAAAAGAATGGTTAAATTAAAATATGCTACAAGTTCAGTGAAATCGGGATCTTCTGTTTACGGTTAGTAGGAGGAAAATCGTCAAAAAACTGAGTCGTTTGTTGCAGCGAACTCAAAATAACATGACTGATAAGTCTCAAAAATTCAACTATTATTGTGCCGTACTCTTTGTTCTTGACTGTTTTCTTAGACTTTGTCTATTAAATTTATGGTACGTTTTATTATTATTTTAATTTTTATGGTTTTCCTCCTTTAATTACTTCCTTCAATGTTAGTAAAGGGTTTTCAGCTCAGATTGATAATTTTATCGAGGTCTAAGTTGCTTATGTCTACTTCGTGAAAGACTTAATCAATCCAACCAATCATACTAACATGACTGTATAGTGTCATAACACTAGGAATTTTAAAGCATATAATACTATCTCATGGACCCAACAAAACCCACCTTATGCAACCGTAAACCGCTCCACTCATGTAAAGCTTCACTTCTTAATGTTGTTTGATCACTATTGTACGGCACGTTTATTTGCTAATTGATCTTAAGACAACTAACTAGTTGCACCAGCTAAAAAGGTCAGATTTTACCAATTAGTCACTGAAAATGTAGTTACTACATGAAAAATTCTACACCAATGACATTTGATTACGGGCTAAAATAAGCTGTCATTTCTTAGACTTCTTACATCAAATTTAAGGGGACTAACCTTAGGAATTTCTCTTGACCCGAGACTGCGAGGACCATCACGAGCTTTGTAGGCCCAAAAATGCTTTCGATCTTTTACAGCAATTTCAGTGCTATCATTAAGAGATTCATTAGCCTATTTTACATTGTTAAAAATCAAAAGACGTTTGAATAGCAAGACGTTGTTAGCGTTTACACAATATAAGTATTTCAAATGCGACAGAAACTAAGCACAGCTTACATATACGTAAAGAAAGCTAAACGCCTGAAACGAATGGAAATCTATGTGGGATATCTATCACAGAATTAATCTTGGCCCACAAATGCGTATGTGAATTGAAAAGACAATATTCCTTTTATATTTGTCTGTGACTAGAGCATTTTGTGCCTAGTCACATATGAGTGAATTTTGTGAATTCGATAATAAAAAACAGCCCCGGATTTCCCACCATAACGTACCGAATCACGCTTGGACCTAAATAGCCGATAATAGAGAGATAAACGCTGACAGTGTTAATGCGTACCCTAACAAAACAGAATTAATGTTATACTTTAAAAATCCCATCATAAAATATGGTGAAAAAAAAGAACAGCTGGATCAACGAACAATCTACTCAAAGCGTATTCACTGATAAACGCTTACAACAAACACAATTACCTTTTTAATGACAACCACCATTATTCACTGACCAGAACAAGTTGAGATTGAGTGCCTTTAATTAATAAGAGACCACTTCACAAAAGTTAACATTAGGGAGTGAAACGATTACTTGTAGGTAAAAGTGATCATATTCCGACTAGGCCCCAGGTAGGAACTACGCTCTACATAGTTTTGTTTGAGCACCTACGTAATCTGAGTGGCTCCCAAACAAAGCGTAGCTCACAGTCAAGTATGCAGAACTGAACTTTGTAGGTGAGACACATATTTACGATAGCACGCTGAAGAGGAACTGAGAAAGAGATAGCGTTTGGATTTTTCCATGTAGTAATTGTTATGTAAGTTTAATGATCGTGATAATGAAATTTATACCCTTTTAGAATTAGAACTAAACTTTTAAAGATGATTTACACGAAGTTACTTATTTCACAAGCAAAAACTAGGAAAGAAACTATGGATGCTTCATAAAAATAGTAAATTCAGTAGCAAAAGTATGACTAACCATGGACGACGTTTGATTACTAGTTGTCTTCACGCTTTCCAATACAATAACATTGGTTTGAGGTGAGCTTCTATGACTTTCTCTGATCCCCAAAGGTGTTTTCGGAGATAATACTGGCGTATCCGGGATGATCTCCATCGGTGAATGAGGTGGTGTGTTGGCGACAGCACAAGGCTTAAAACAGATGTTTTGGTAAATGTAGGCAAACAAATAAGTTAATAAAATTTATGGAACCATCCGAAGTGCATGTTGTCATCAATCGAAGGTATATACACTATAAGTACGTCAAGTGTTTTGAGTGATTAGTTAGCCGGTTAGTTGTGGTAACAGATGAAAAGATGCAAAAACAACAGAACATGAGGTAGATATTTGTAATATAGAAACTTAATGCCGAAAATATAGCTGAGGAAGAAAGCAGAAATCTAAGAATATGCGAAAAGATGATAAAACGTATAAGATGTAGTGGAAGATAAATGTATGCACCTTTACAAATGTGGAATATTGTAAGCTATTTTAAGAAACTAACTAAACCGGGAAGTAACCACGCAATATATACAAAAACATTTAGCACAAACCTGAATACTAGGAATTTCGTGCTAGAGACATGGTTGGAACCGAAGTAAAAGAACGAATATAAGCGATTCTCAAAATGATATGGCGAAATCTTAACCGCTTACTTGTTTCAAGATAAGGTTAGGAACTAATGTTGAGGATTAAGACCGTGATTTAGGGTTAGGGGTAGGGTAATAGAATAGGGTTAGGACTTTAACTACAAATCGAAATCTGCTTTAATCCAATGACCTAACGAGTCCATACATATGAATGGATTTCACGCAACAGTTTAAGAGATGAAATTCGAAATCTAATTGGTTCGTCCTACAGTTTAATACTATCGAGTCATTGATGATTAATATAAACCCCTGGAGGCCAAAAAACTGCAGAAAACGGGCGCAAGATATACAAATAAATCTTCACAAAACATGTTTAGACAGACTAGGTACTTTTACCATTACCTGTTTGAACGGCGATCAAGAATAATGCCGTACAATTCGCCTCACAGAATTTTTAATAATGAGTTGATAAGGACCGAAAAATTCAAATAATTAAAAAACATACTTTGGCATTTGGTTTCTTCTCAGATGATCCGAAGAAATCATCAACGGAAACTACATTCTTCTTAGGTTTCACAGACTGTGAGAAGTACGCTTCAATAGTATTTGCTTTCTTGTCGCGGGAGACTTTGGATAACTCTTGCTGTCGTTTTAAGGCGTCTATTATTGACTGCTGTGAGTTATTACGGCAAGATATTTGATTATCTAGGGGCTTTATTGAAAAGTAACTTAATACCATCGACGTCTGTGCATTTCCTCTTTTTCTCAGAATATCGTTTCGTATTTTGCTTAACTTTCGGCTTTTCCTTAGTCTTAATTTCATCATCTTCATTTGAATATAAATGGACTGGACATTACCTGAATCTGACTCACTGAAAACCACCCGTCGCTTCATCGGCGTAACGTACTGTACGTAACACCCTCTATTACATTTTCGATGTTAAAGGATGCAGATACTAAACTTTACTTTACAAACTAAGTAAATTAAATGTTATCGTTTTCCGTCTTGGAAATCGTTCTCTATAGTTTTGATTGAATTCGGCATGCATTGTGTCCTTAGAAAAACAAGGATTTGTTAACATGCCTGGACCATGTCTTGCGCTTCATCCATTGCTATTATTTATCATGAATATTAACTTGTCTCTACTGCCTTATACCTTATCATCTCTGTCCATTACATAGTACTTTTGCTTGTCCACCCATTTACCCTGTTACGTTTTTACTCAACATCTTTGTGACTAGCCAGTGTAGACCAAACAATTATGTTATACTAGTTTCTTTGTTCTACAGTATGGTACCAGGTCTTTGAGATTGTCCAATGTTGGTATTCTGACCATTGAGCTCAACTAATCCTGATAATCTTGACAATTACTAAGCAGCGAATTCGCATTGAGTGTAAAGAAATATGCTTGTTTTGGGTCATTGGGGTTGCTGGAACCAGCAAATACCATATAATCAGGTAGGACTATGTGAAAGACCTGGGGCCGTACTGTAACACAGAGAAACTAATATGGTGTAGTCGGCTGATCTACACTAGCATTATGAATGTTATCTTCTTGATTGATGACCAAGGACCAGTGAATCAAGGATTAGAGTACAAATGTTCTTGAACACGTTTTTCGGTAATTAAGTCCAATAGTAAATACAATAATGTTAAACATATGAAGCATAATTGGATTGGATGGACAAGAGTGGGCTGGAACAATAGTAGCACCAGACTAACACTGGAATTAGACCTCTTTGTTATTGAATTGGATTTACTTTGACACTGACAACAGAATGACCAAAAGTTTTTTGTAATTTAATAAATTCAGTACTGCATTAGACTGGTCTAGTTTGCACTGCATTGAAATGAATTACAACTGTCCAAAGTGTCTAAAGTATTTAGACATCAATATAATAAAAGAATACGATCAAACGTTTTATTCCAGTTATTTGATGCTCTAGTAGTGACCTACTTTTATGAAGAGAAGGCTATTATCATAATGGAAACAATTATTAATAAGGCCAATTGTACCAGTGAATGTTTCACTGTACCTGTTTGTTTAAGTGTACCAAAAAACACTTTTCCGTTGTTTATGACCTTGCACGAACTCTCGTACGCTCGCTAGTCTCGTTTACGAAATTAGGCACAACCTCAGTATCATTTCAATACCACGAGATCGCCAACAAATACATCTTACTACGACCTTCACCTACTTTCTGATATTTGGCCTTCGGTAGGATCTAACCTGGCAACTGGCACGTATTTTTCCTGTGGTGGTGATCATAGTCAACCGCTACTCGATGCCCACAACACTCTAATCTGCTAAGTGTTACGTTCACTAAATCTGTACACAGTAGTTCTACATAATAACAGCATTGCAACATATATGCATATTCAATGAGATTAGGGAACTAATTTCTATAACTATCAAAAGTCACTGAATTTCTGGGTTAAATATTCTGCTTCTTACTGATAAATATCAGTAAAATATATCTCTCCTCTGAAATCTTATATATTAGCCTATAATATCGAAGTTCCGAAAAAAACGTTTACTAAAAGTTACTGCTATAATAATATAAATCAGTCTAGCAGTATTAAATGAACTGTAAATATCAGAATATGAGATTTCCAGTCTATAAATGTGACATGTAACTGTATGACTGAGTATGCTGTAAAACCTGTTGGTAATCCGTGTACATATCACCAATTTTCGTTAAGAATGTGATCGGTGTTACGTTGCATAACACTTTGCTGTCTAATGACCTCTGTTTCACGTGTTTGTATCACATGGTCACTTTCAGTTTGCTGACGCACCTAGTTTATGTTACTTGATGAATAGAACGGTTTCGAATACACAAGTGCATTTTCGTCAGCTTTGTGAATAAATCCTTAGTTCCCCAGTCCAGGTCTCCATTAGTAATGGTGTCCATAAGTGAGAAAATTCATTATACGCATTTCACAGCACATATAAAGGTAAACTTTTCATATTATCTAACCGTTACCGATAGCTCACTCTCGGAAACATAACCTAACGGCCAAATATCAATGAAGTATAGTGGTAAATAAATATTTCTGTAAGTCTTCAACATTTGATACTGACCGTACTAGTTTTACCGAACTCACCTAGATGAGTGCTCCCGGTCACACATGCACACCAGATCACGAACAGGTACACCGTTCTCCACATCTCCTATAACCACTACCCAGCTTAGATTGATCACCTCTCGAAATATTGATAATCAATCAAATATATTTTCGAGCCTTTTTGCTCCTGACTTTCGATTTGACTGGTTTGGCATGTTTTGGTTGTAAAAGGTGTTACTGGTTAGGAGGTTGTCAGACTCGCAATACTTGTTACATCTTTAGTACTGAGCCTGACGTGATCTGCTGCACCAATCCGTAAGCCATAAATCTGTTCTTTATCGGAACATCATATATACTTTTGTTTTTGTTTTTACACATTGTGATATTGTATGATAATCAGAAGTATTTGAATTGTAGTATAAACTAGTAATCCCAGGAATAACGCAATTTTGATCAAGAAGTATCAGATGAGCGCGAACGAATGTATTGTATTTTGAATTCAAAATTACAACAGCCATCAATACAAACAAGTCATTGATTTATTTAAACATCACATCCGTCACAGCTCGAATTGGAGTGTAAGTGTCGGTAATCGATTGTTCGTCTTCTTCTTAAGTTCATCTTACATCTGTCCGACGGTGTATTGGATGTAGACTCTGTATTATCTAGAATGTACTCATTAGTATTAGAATTAACAACCGAAATTGGGACGAACTCACCTGGATTCTGGTATTGTATTTGATCAACGTGTCGATTATGCATTGTCAAGTCATTGATATCCAGAATTCGCACCATAGATTTTCCAACATTCTTCACTACAATCCCCGTGGCTGGTCGAAGATCATTTCCACGATCATATGTGACTTCTGCAGACTCCAAACACCTCATATTCGAACAGAGAATTCTTCCTTTTAATAGCTTTGATAGAGTCTCTTTCGTCACAGAATGCTTAGCATTTCTATATTGAAGTAGAAATGTATCTACTCCTTTCTCCAGTTCATTAAATGTCGAAGCAGCAATAGAATCAATAGCAATTTTCAATGTTCTTACGAAATTTTCTGCCTGACCATTAGAACAAGGGTGCCTAGGAGCCGTAAACAGATGTCTGCACCCTGTACCATTCAACCAATTAGTGACTGCATCCGCAGCAAAATGAGAACCATTTTCAGTCACTAACACCATGGGAACTCCTTCTCGACTAAACACCTTCCTTAATGCTTGAATTGTGAAGTCAGAATTTGGTGAAGTTGTGAAAAAACTTCAGGCCACTTAGAAAAAGAATCAATAATTACAAGTGCATAGTATTTGCTGAGAAATGGACCACAGTAGTCTGCATGGATTCTCTGCCAGGCCTCAGACGATACTGGCCATGCAGTCCACTTCGAAGGCTGACATTTTAGCTTATGACATTTCTCACAATTGTTTTCTGTACGACATATATCTGCATTTATCTCTGGCCATCAACATGTGAGTCTTGCCAAAAACTTCATTTTCTCAACACCAAGATGTCCACTATGAAGATCATCAAGGACAGGTTTGCGTAATGAACGAGGAATAACAACATGATCATTTAGACACTTTGAACAATAGACAGGAAATCTACGTTTCAGATTAGCATTCCAACCCTTCCGTTACAGGCTCAATCGCGACGCCAATATGATGATCAGAAGTATTTGAATTGTAGTATGAACTAGTAATCCCAGGAATAACGCAATTTTGATCAAGAAGTATCAGATGAGCGCGAACGAATGTATTGTATTTTGAATTCAAAATTACAACAGCCATCAATACAAACAAGTCATTGATTTATTTAAACATCACATATTGTTCTCATATTTCCTCATAAATTTTCCTATTCGTTAGTGTGTAGAATTATGATCTTCTTCGTTATTAGTACTGATATAATAATAGGCCCAATTCTAAAATTGTAAAATGTCATTATATGAAAACCGACTCTGTAAGATCGTACTTGGAAGTCACATCATTGTCTATTCTGACTCGTCCAATCGTAATAAACATCAATGTGATGATCAAATGACACGAAAAATGCTTCGAGAAACCCTCTCACGCATTAACGACAACCACAGCCAACAAACATAATCGTCTGTTAGACATCACTGATGTGATGACGTAAGTTCGCTATCTCTACACTGGAAAAGAGGTAAGCGATCTTACTATGAATTATAACAACCAACCACATGAAGCAACTTTCAACCTGCAGGTGGCGAATTGGAAACCGATCACCACATACGGTAAGCGGTATGTTTATCTAAACGTGTGTTTGCACAAACGTATCCCCTGGGTCTTCGTTGTTGCAAATATTTCTATGCCAATCATTGGTATGAACCTTTCAGTTGTACGTGATGATTTCGATTCATGTGACTGTAGCTTCCTTACATCACTAGGTCGCCAAAATGTAGAAGATTTTCTTACTCGTCTGGATGCTCATCTAGACTTGGTTTTCATTAATGATGTGGGTACATATGTGACTCGCAAACGTGCTCCATTGTCTAGCTCGGATCACTGTATAACTCGTGTTCTACCTAAAGTACATGGAAAACATGGAAAGAGTACACACTTACACCATACCAAAAGTCATATATAGGAATTAGAAGAAATTATACGAAATCTGAAAAACATGTTTCATACGAGTAACTGGAAATTATTTACAGATAACTGACTAGAAAATACCATTGATGTTATCATCTGTTATCTTAAATTCTATTTTGATATTTACTGTCCTACCGAAACCTTCTTTTTAAGCTTTGATCGACTTACATCCCCCCAACTAAAACGACTAAGTAGGGTAGATGAAAGAATGTACA